TTTTTTTTTTCTTTCTAAGCAATGCAAACAGCCTTATTCCTTTACTTCTTTTTTTGTCGCTGTACTGTTGTAGCCTAAAGACAAAACGCAGACAAATATGAGCCAACGCGTGGCAAGTATTCTACGTGTACTGTGAAACTACAAGCGCTCCAAGGAGAGTCTGGAGCTAAAGACGAGTCGGCCCTTTTTTTTCATGGGCGGTCGCAGAAAAGCGCTCAGCCTCAAACATGGTGCCTTGTTGACGTATACCAAACCACTGTTCCCGCCATTGACGTAGCTGCTGCTGCTGATGTACTTTTCTGGCGCAACCGCCCTTTGCGACATGTTATGGGGGCACCGAAGCTGTGAGAGGCACGAACACGGCAGAGGAATCTGGACCTGTTTGGGGGAGTGAGAGAGGGGCTTCACAGCCACTGAGATCCCTTTTGCGCTGGGGAAGTTTAACGAAGGAGAAGCCGGCGACGCGCCTCCAAGGCCAAACGCTGACTTTGAAGGAATACTCGGAAGCTGCACAGATGGAATCCGAGCAGGTGTGGCATCGTTCCACCTCCTATCATCTGGGCTGTAATCATCGGTTGACGAGCATGGTGAAGAAGTGGCGCAGTTAGCGGTTGTATCTGTTTCCCTAGCTGATGTGGACAAGGCGATGGGGGGTGCTAACGCCTCCACTGCGAGCACTTCAGGCGTCCGCGGCTCCACCATGCCCTGACCATGGAGAGGCTCGATCTCCTGCAGAAGCACAGGTATGCCTTCTCCCACCCCAAACCACTTGTCACGTTCCTTGCAGTTTCTCTTGAAGGTGTTTGTTTTACCCTCGGCACGCACCACACCGGCTGACTCACGTGCCGCTTCCCCGACCCCTAGTTTAGTTTGGGGAAGAACATCATCCAATACTAATCCGTCGAAAAAAGTATGGCATAGGGCCTCATCTACGGTGCAACGCTTGCTCCAATCGATAGTTAGCAGAGAACGAAGGAGATGAAGCCCATTTTCGCCAAGCACCTGACCGTAGCGATTACCGATGAAGTCTTCTGTCGCGTCTGCCTTTCTACCGAAACGGTGGTTTAAGCGCGCCAATGTGGTGTGCATTGAAGATTTGGAGCCGATATTATCCATCAGAGAAGGTGGAAACTCCCCAATGCGTTGGCGTATAAGCATGAGCTGATCCATCTCCGACCTCCCTGGAAGAAGTGGCTCACCAAGTGCCAGCTCAGCCATTATGGCTCCAGCAGCCCACATATCTGACGTGAAGCTGTAGTTTTGCATCCCAAGCAGCATTTCAGGACTGCGGTACCACCGCGTAGCCACGTACTCTGTCAGTGCCGGTTGCTTCCACTGTGGCGCCTGCAGAAGACCCCCACTCGTCGTGGTCAAACTTAACGGTGGCTGAATTGTTCGTGAGGAACCAAAATCGCATAGCACCACAGTGTGCCCATTTCGGACTAAAGTATTTTCTGGCTTCACGTCGCGGTGAATAATGCCATTGCGGTGGCAGGACCGTAGCCCCAAGAGTAATGTGTAGAGGAGGCGCCGTAAATGTGGCAACGGCACTCCAGATGGTCTTTTCCTAATAATGTCTAACAGTGTGCCGCTCACGTACTCCATGACCAAGCACAGCTGCCTCTTTTCACGAAAAGCATCGACAAGCTGCACCACGTTCTGTTCACCTCGAAGGAGGTTCAAAACACGCAACTCTCGTAACATCACTCGATGCCCATACTCATCTAAAATCGCTTCTTTGAACCGTTTGACGGCAACAATATCTCCTGTCTTTTTACAGCGGCACTGGAGGACGACGCCGTACGTGCCCTCACCAACAACCTTGATGACCTCGAAGGAGCTCATCGAAAGGCGCGCTGCAGGGGCCGGCATTGCCCCCGCACCAAATTTGAAGACTACTTGTGGGTTAGACCGTTTATTAAGTGTGCGAGTGTCTCTCTCGGCAACCACACCAGTTGCGTCGATTACACCTATTTCACACATGAACAGTGCAACAAGCAGAGGAAAAATCATATGTGTGCGTGCAAGAAAGAAAGAAAGAAAGAAAGAGAGAGAGAGAGAGACAGAGGGACAATCGGGTAAAGAAAGACTTCGTCACCTGGCAAAATGGCAGGTGACATCAACGGTGGAGTGAGATGGAGAAAGAAGGCAATAGTTGCCACTTCGTCCTCTGCTTCACTACTTCCTTCCCCCTCACTGGCATCACTCGGAGATGCTGCAGAATCCGAATCTCGTGTTTGATAATGGCATTTGTGCATACACTCAACACCACCACCACCACCACCACCACTGCAAAACAATACAAAAGAGCCATAATAATACAAAACGATAGAAAAACTCTTACACCCTAGTGTGCGTTTCTGTCCATGACATCATGTCACAATTCATGTGGCACCCCTGTCGTGTGTAGTTGCATCCTTGGCGTTCTTACAAGACCCGCATCGTCCCGATCTTATGCACTGCTGTCATCTGCACTGGATGAAGTAGAAGAGCCAGTTGGCAGGACTCACGCATCCTCACAGGGGAGACTCGGCCCGACGGCGCGGCTGATCATCAGTGGAGGGATGATCTCCGTGCCCTTGTTTGAGCAAAGCGGCGAGAGAGGTAGACTGTGACCAACCGCCAGGCTAATCTGCACGGGGTGGCGCAGTGAGTGTTGCGGCGTCCACCACTTGGTGGCAACCGACTGCGGTGTATTATGGCCTGTCATAATGTGCATGCTGCAAAGCTGTGTCCGCGTCTGTGGTCACAGCAGCAACTTCGCAGCTTTCGTTGCGTGAGTCGATTGATGCTGTCGCATCACCCGGTATCTGTGAGCCTGCAGCGCACTCTACTGAGCCCCCTCCCACTTCTCCTGGAGCCACATCTGCGTCATACCCCTTCTCTTTGACGTCATCCTCAGGATGGCCCCCCTCCTTATCCTTGTGCCGCTCTGGTGCTTCAGCATGTATTTCACCTTGGTCTTTTTTCACCGCCGCCTCTCGGTCTGTCATGGCGAGCGCGTCGGGGTGCTCATCTTCAGCTTCCGCTTGTTCTGTTTCTTTATATCTTCGTGCCCCCATCTCACCCCCACCCGCAGTTACTGGCCAAGTTGCCACAGAGACACTTCTCACAAGCATCTTCTCCCCAATTCCCCTTGATTTTGCTACAAGTTCCTTTAGCGCCTTAAGGACGGACCCTGTCTCCACCGTAATCCCATTTTCCTTCGAAGCGTACGCTTCCATTTCCTCATCGTTTCTCATATAGTCATCAGAAAGGGCCATACGAATCGCATAAAATAAGAGAAGATGTTCACCCATCAGGGAGTGGTGCAGTTCCATTTCACTTGTGGCGTGCTCAATGAATGCATTTAAATACTCTGACCCCTTACCAGGCATCATGTGTTCTTGTTGATTTTGGAAGGTCTCCCGTGCGGATGCCGCTCTTTTTTCACGAACTTTGCTCAAACGCAAAGCCGTCCCCAGCGCTTGGTTTATCTCAATCGCCTTTGCTAGATTTGCCTTCATATCCTTCAGCTCTGCTAGGGGTCTCTCTTCGCGCCGCCTAGCCAAATCAAGCTCTGCAGTCTGCCGTTTGAGCAAGGTCTTGTAGTGGGCCACTTCCCGTGTTAAGTGTTCACATTGGCCTGAGGCGGTGCGTAGCCGCTCATTCTCCTCCTGGAGCTCCCTCATTTTTTTACGCAGCTGCGTCGGACTGAGGCCGCCCTTCGGCGACGCATCACGGCGACGCCTAGACGGTGAGCCGTGTGGACGATCCACCGGCAACGACACGGCGCGAAACTTCTTCTCCAGTTCCTTGTAGAGTCTTGTCACGGTTGTGACGCGCTGTCTGAAGGAATCGACGAGGGACGCCAAGTTTTTGTTTTCAGCGGTCAGCCTTGCTATTGTGGCTCNCTGTGTCTTCCCCGCCGCTGCATCCCCCGTGGCATGCGCTCTTTTCCCCTTTGCAGACTTTGCCACACGACTGTCGGACTGCAGCTTGTCCGTGGTGTGCGAGAGCGTACTTGTGCTGTGCATGAGGCCGTCGTCGTCCTCGCGGCTCAAAGGCGGCTTCGGCGAGGCGCCTGTTGGCTCATCTGCTTCCGGCGACCGCTGCGGTGTGTGGGTAATGTCGTGTGCACGTAGCTGCTGCAGAAGCTCCTCTAGCTCCGCATCCGCTGCAAAGGCTAGTGGAGTGGTCCCACGCAGGTTGAAACGCATGGCCGCTACAAGCTGTGATACCTTCTCACGGTACATGTCACTCACTTGCTGGATGTGGTAGTTCTGATCCTTGAGGAAGCTGACCTCGTCCTCCAGCTCCTGCATGCGTCTCCGCAGCTGCTTGCTCTGCGAAGGCTGAGCTGTCGTCGCCATGACGGAAATGAAGATGGAATATGTCTCTCGCGTAGAGCGGTGGCACTGGTGTTTCGGAATGTGTAGAGGTACCAGCAGCCGTGGCGTACAGAGGTATGCACAATTTCCCGATGATGCAGTTGAACCCAAAAACGGGGTTCTACACAACTAACTATATTGTGTCTGAACTTCTACGAAATGGGAGTCAGCGGTAAAGAAGAAAGCAGAGAAAAACAAAGTAGACATATATGAGCAATGTTGCACTCCTGATCTGCTTGTAGTTGTCACACACAAGATTATACCAAAGAGGAAATGAGTGATGCCCCATATCGGCATTAATGGTAATACAACTGATGTCACGCCTTCTTAGCAGCCTTGCGCTTGCGTCCCCGTGTCAGCGGTTTCTTCATGTTTTTTTTTCCCTTTTTCGGCTGCTCACCGCTCGGCTTCACAATGGTAAGACGCCCGCGCTGGTCTGAAGGCACACGAGAGGCCATGTGCGATTCAACGGCGGCAACATAATTCGCTCGTGCCTTTGATGTGAGCGTCTTCTGGCTTTTAGTGTGTACCGTCTTCTTCTTGGCCTCGCCAACGTACTTGCGCAGAGCACCGCCGCTCTTGGTGCGAGCCTTGCCCTTCACATTCTTCTGTGCCATCCTTCCCCCCTTACTGCGAGTGCTTGTGTGTGTGTGTGTGTGTGTGTGTG